CCCCAAAACCCCAAAACCCCAAAACCCCAAGAGGCTAAAATTAAGAGGAATTGCGTCACATAAATGCTTCATAAAATATAATTTAAGATACTAAAATAGTAAATTTGATTATTGTGATGGATCTAGATTTTGCAACCATTACAGAAGAAAGCAATAATGCTCCAGATAATTAATTACCAATAATGCCTAAGAAGAAAAGAAAAGAAAAATAAAAGGCTTCATACTAACAACTGACTTAATAATTTAGCTATGACTTAATTAGGTCATAAGAGATCTAAATGCCTGGGACTAAACTTTCTCTTTAGGAGTATTTCTTTGAACTTCCCAGATGTACTTTGTGTATGGCTGTTGGTCTATCTCCATTTAGTAAATATAAGAAATACTAATGAAAAGAGCAAAACTAGAAATAATGGTCTAAAATTTGTAATGCCTATGAGCTTGGCTACCTCTTATACCAATGTAAAATCTGTGGAATTACAATACATTCATAATGCTATGGAAATCAATTTCAGTTTCCAAGAGCAGATGAGAACAAGTTTGACATGGAAAAGATAGTATGGACTTGTCAAGATTGCAAAGTTAAGAACGAAGATGATAATAAATAATGTGAGATCTGTTATTAGACATATGAGACAAAAGAACTGTTTAAAAATGCTACTATACCAGGCAAAAGAGTGCACCTATTCTGCGCCATGTGGTCAAATGACTCTACTGCCAAAGATCTTTGCAAGTAAGATTATAATCAATTTAATCTGCAAAATTTTAGTTTTAATTCAATAAGTATTCCAATTTAATAAGAGAGCTAAGTTGATAAGATTTGTATTATCTGTGAGAATAAAAAGTACCATAATTTGTCTATAATCATTATAGTGGCTAGTAGATAAAATGCTACTTCAAAGACTGTAGGATATACTTTCATCCGATTTGTGGAAAGAATTCTCACTTATACTTTGAAATATTGGAATTCGGGAGGACTATATGTCCAGTGTTTTTTTGCCAGATGCATTCTCAGCCATATATATAAAATAAAATTACACTTTGGAAAGCCAAAACCTCAAACAAGGAGTAGTGATTGTGATAGTAATTAATTTTTAAAATAAAAATGAAATCATCTTTAATTTCTGCAAACCCAAATCCTCAAGCTTTGTTATTTCAATCAAGTTCTCAAAGACCATAGAGTGATGCCAGAACTAGATCAAACCATAATTTTCACTCTACTCCTTCTAGAAACGCATAAATTTCAAAAGATATATCCTCGCCTAAAATAGTGAACCCAAAATTTACATTTGAAACTAATGCTTCAAAAGTTTCAACAGATCAAGATCCTAGATTGATGAAAAATATAAGTAAGTAGTCAACTTAGCACTAGTAAGCCACAATAGAAGCTCCTCCTTCCTTTAACAATGCATTAATTAACTCAAGGTTAAGTTCAGTTCAATAAAGTCCTTAGAATAGAAAGTAAGTTAATCCAAGTTCATTTATTCATCAATCTGTTGGACATCTTAATAAATAAAAAAGTACAATGCTTTAAACCATGCAAACAGAAAAAATTAATCAGATTGAAACACCTATCCTTACAAAGATGTAGAGTTAGAAGACTGTCACGCCTCATTACAAAACTCATGTAAGCCAGGCTAAGAAACTTAACTCTAAGGAACTCAGAAAATAAATTGAAAATGAAGCCTTTCATGAAGAATTCATGAGATTTTCTCTTTAAAACAACCAAAACGAAGATAGTACCTCAAAACACTTTACTTCCTCTTAGTTAGATTTTACAGATAAGAGAAGATTTTCTAATCATAAAAATTTTAACTCTGTGAGTAATTTCGAAGCTTGGACACCAGGCTAGATACAAAAGCATATCTAGGAGATTACAATTAATGTAATGAAAGAGGAGAATGATCATTTAGCTTTTGTAGATAATTTGAATCACTTTAAGGATTAACAGAAAGCCTTGGATTCCAATTTCGGTATTATAATAATTTTCATTAAAAAATATATCTAGATCTTATTAAACAAGCGTTCTTAAAATTTTCAAGTCATAGTATCGGAATAAAAGTCAGAGATAAAATGTACGATGTTTATAGCAGAGTTACTTCACTCTACTAAGAACATATAAAGACATATAAATAATAAAAAAATGAATAAACTAAATATGATGAGGCTTAAGATATGCTTAACTAAGTAGGAGAATTGATAAGAATATTAGTCAGACTTTTCATTGGGGAAAACAAAATACATATTGCTTAAATGCTTGAGAAGCTATTTAAGATGTTTGTTGGCTTTTTCGATCAAATGTAAAATATTATTAAAGCTAAACTAAAGGTATGAGATATAAGAGAGCAAGATAAATGAGATCAGATATCAATTAAGCCATTAATATAATGAGGACCGAAGAAAGTAGGATAAATTCATAAAGACACTTGAAAATGAGATAGCTCTGTTAAGAAAATTTAAGTAGCATGATTACGCAGTTTCTAAGAAAAATAAAAATGTATGATTAGCAAAAACTCCTTCTCATCAATAAATAGGAATTACTGATTGACAATTTGAAAGATATAGAAGAGGAAATCTAATTTATCTAGCAGAATGCAGCGATAAAAAATATATATGAAGAAATTGAATCAAATACCAAAAAACTTGAAAAATTTCTCGGGAATGTAGGAGATACAACTGAAAAATAGATTTTCAATTTGAGAGAAATGAGAAATATCATAAATTATGATGCTATAATTGTCAGATTAATAGTCTTAATATATTTAGAAAAGAGAATTCAGAAAGTAGGTTTCAGTAGAGGTTCAAACTGACAACAATAATGGCACAAGACACTAATAAATTTTACAAGTAAAAAAATGCATTTCAATTTAACATTTAAGGCTCAAAGAGATTTGGTTAGTGTAAATGCAATTGAGCTGATTTCGACTGCCTCAATGATTAATGGAAATCTCTTGCTTCAGTATTGGAAGGTGAGAGCAAAATCGATGTCTGAGGACTACTTCGTGGATCAATTTGTAAATTTGGTGGCGAATAAACTTAATTCTGATATTCATTCAGATCACCTAATTCCCTTAAACTTTTCATAATATGTAGTTAAAAAATATCTACAAGCTCTCAAAGGTAATATTTTTTTGCCTACATTATTAATATTATAGATCCACATTTAACAGCAATAGAGCTTACCAATCTTATAAAGACAGCTGTTTAAATCAACGATAGTTTATAAGATGAATAGCTTTATTATCATTTGAGCAAATCTCTAAGCCAGATCTATATGTTTCTCATGAATATTCTGTATTAGAGGAGAAAGACATTCGAAAAAGATAAAGACTATATGCTAAAAATGGCATATGAAATTGCATGTGCTGCTCCTGAATGCTAAAATTACATTTTGATACTTTTTGGAGAGCTTTTCAGCAAACAAAATAATCAATTTGAAGAAGGTAATATTGAAAAACTGATGAAATTCATGAAGTAATATTGGATTGAACCATAACTTGATACAGGAGATGGCTATAACTATTAAAAGTAAACTTTGCAGAAAATAAAGCATAGAATTGTTAAAAAATTCTTCAGTTTTTTGTTGACACTCTCAGAATCAGATAATACTCGCCCTTTGAATCTCTTTGATCATTTCGAAGTTTTCAATACTATAGAAAGGGAGAAGAAGGATATTGGTTAGTATCTATAAAAATCTAGTTTTAGAGATTTTAAATAGCCACATGAGTAACTGAAAAAAATCAAGATTGAGGAGAGAGCCCAACAAATACTCTGCTATCTCCATCTTCATGATAAGAACTTCGTTAAAAATTTCCATTTTAGGTTTAAAGAAAAAGATGATTACTTTGGGGCTGCTGAAATTGAATAGATTATAACTAGTGTATATCAAGATCTACTTTGCAAGCATGATATCAAAGTAGTTTCCTAGTTTTTCAGACTAAAGTATGGAGATTCAATGAATATTATATAGTTTGATATGGAATATGAGAGGGCAATTGAGCTCATCTCATATAAGCACTACTCTCCAATTCTATGCTTAAATGCTCTTGCTATGGCATTGTTCAACTTCTCCTCTTATTAAATAAGAACACTGGAAAAGGAATTTATTAAAGCAAAAACTGAATATGATCACATATTAGATAGCAAGAGAGTGAAAGGAAATTTCTATGAACCGATAAATTTCTAATTATATACTAGGATAACATATACCATAAATCCGACTTTAGCAGAGGAAGATGTTGCGAGAACCTTCGCTCATTCAGTTGGAATGGTTCATTCTAAGGAGATTATTTAGCATGAAGGGGAAACTGATGATGATTTCCAAGAAAGAAAAGACAATTATGATAAGATGATATTTAGAAAATACTTAGAGATAATAATTGATAATGGGCTTGTGATGCAAAATTTACTTGAAATCAATAGGGTTGAGGATAAAAAGTAAATGTTTGGGACAAAAAACCTTAAATTATCGAAAATGAAAGGAAGATAAAGATGAAATTTGATTTGGATTTTAAGAGATTAACATTTATTATGGAATTTACAATTTTTGTGACTATGTGATATAAGGGGTTTTGGGGTTTTGGGGTTTTGGGG